GTTTTAATACCTATGGTGGCTCAGATTTGATATTTTCAAATCTACATCACTTCCAGTAAACTTTAGAATTTAGCTTTTAATTCAGTCTGTATACTGGAACCTATTTCCTTGTAAAGACACTTTAGTACCATTCTTCTTTCAGATGTTTAAGTACATTATAGCTTTTGTTTTTAGAAAGATTAGCCATTCACATCGGACATAATTTTTTTATTAGTCTTATAATTTAATCTATTATACTATATGTGAATATAATTATTACTTCATACGTTAGTTTGTATAAAATATGCTAAACAACATGTTTGTTAGCAAATTATAGAATTAAAAATTAGAATAGGCTTATTACATTAGGAGAAGTTTTATATCCAAACGAAGTTGATTTAAGATTGATTGATTGACAGTTATAAGATTGAGTGTTTCTAGTATTTGTCTTAAATCAATCTTAAGCCAAGAAAACCTGATGATACTGCATTCTTTCAAGTTGTAAGCCTATTTTAGATTTTCTAATAGCTTATGTATAAGAAACACTTTTCATTTATTTTTATTTTAATATTCTTTTGATTTCTAGTAAATAAATTTGGCATTAACTGAAAAACACAAAGTTATTGAACAAACAAGAGTCTTGACTAGATAAATCCACATAAAAATGAAATCACCTAGAAAAGAATATTTTTTACCAAAAACACATAAACAATAAGTTACATGAAAGATGAGAAAGTGGAAAATTAGAAGCAAGTGATGCGAGGATCTGAAATGTGTAAAGGATATTCAACATTTTTTAGTTGCATGTTTTATTGATAGCATGAGTGCAGACCCAACAAGGAAAGGTTTTACAGTAATTCAGATGTAAGACGACTTGATTTGAAAAAAATTTACATTTTTTCTCTTCAATATCTACCAGCTACCTTGTCTCAAACATATAAATATCCAATATAATATTTTCATGTGATAAAGGCACTGTTTTGACACTGTAAAATTAAGTGCATAGAAATGTTTATATTTGATGAGTTTCTAAAAATAACCTGTGTATCAAACTTCTGCTGAAACTTTAATACGACTACAAACAATGGCCAATCTAGAATCAAGTTTTGTCACAGAGAAAAAAAGAAGTCCTATAAAAAATCCCATTTATACACAAGCTTTCACCTGACATTAGGCAGGGATATTACCTTTTAATAAGACCCGAGGGTTACTCAAGATACACGTGTACAATGCTGGCAAATGTTTTTGAAAGTGGATGGAAATTACAAGTAACAAAATTACCTAAAATTCCAATCTCTTTATCTGCCAACTGTTCCTTTATATTTGTATACAGGCTCCTAGTGCCTTCAGTAAAGTCAGCTTGGATGATGCTGGTAGAAATACCAAAATCTTTCTCTATATGAAAAGAGTTTCAATTAAAGTAAAATAACGAAATAATGTACAAAATAATTAGAAAATATTTTTACTGTATATGTAACTACACTAAATATATTTTCAAAAAAAATGTAAAAAAGACTGAAGACACCTTGAATACATTTATTTTGATAAAAACATTTAAAATACTAGATAATTTGTTTATTTAACCACTACAGTTTCTTTTAAAGAGCTGTTTTATAAAACCAAAAAAAAAATTTTTAATCTAATTTACATGTACAATGTTGATCCTAGATTCAAAACTGGAATATCAATACTTGTTAAAAACTTATCTTAAAGTAGAAAAACATTGGCATTGTACTTGTAATATTACTATTAATAATATGCATTTTAAGTGTTCACTTAGATGCATATATTGCACACAAAAGTTATTATAAATATTGCATCAATTCATCCAGTTTCTTCAACATCACTTACAAATATGTTATTCTCTTAAAAAGAAGGTTATTTCATATACTTAGAACAGGCCTCAATAAATATTTTCAGATCTAGGAGCCAGCCCAAAAAATTAGGAGCCAGGTCCAATATAAAAAAGTTATGGAATATATTTTTAGTCGGTTGTATGGTTATGTTACAAGACACAGTTTTACACTAAAAAACAAAGGATTCATTATTAAACTTTATTATATAACAGATATTAAAGTTAAACTTCACTATGTGCAATTATTAAAATAGTAGACTAAATAACTATAACTTAGGTGGATTATTGCAATGAATGAAAGTAAAATAAAAATAATCACTGATATCGATATACCAAGCAGGTTGTTTCAGAATAGGTCTAATCTACTTATCATTACATCACTGTATAACGATAAGCTAAGGCCTTTTAGTGTGCCTAACCTAACTTCACTACTGTTTGTACCAGGAAATGGGAGCTATATTTATTTACTCTCGTAGCAACAGTTGCATGCTAACTATCATATTATATCAACAACCACTTGACAGTATTGCCTGAACCATTTGCCTTTGGTCCCACCACAGTCTAAACATGCGCACTGATTGGTTGAATTGAAAGATGAAAAACAAAATGGCACAAAATTAGTAATGTGTTGTGCAACTGCAGCACTTGATTCCTGAAAAAACATGAAGTACTGAATCTACCATTAAAATCCTAGAAACAAAATCAAACTCAAAGAATGTGAAAATAGTTACGGACTTCCAAGAGTCCAGAACTGTTCTAGATTCGAGTTCTATTTAGCACAGCCATATTCATGAATAAAATGGGAGAAAAATAAACTAGGCACCAGAATGAAATATTTAGTCACCATGGCGACCTGGCACCAAGGATTTGTCGAGGCCTCATTTACAAATTGTAAGCTAAATATTATTCTAAACAAAAAATATACTTTGATAAATAATACTGCATACACAAATGAGTAAAAATGATGGGATGTTAAAACTTGAAAATACTATTGGTCCTAGACACATTTTAACCCTCTACATTATGAATCCATGAAAGAAATTTACCTTTAGAAGTGTACCATCTGGTTGCTGATACCTCGACAGGTACATTTGCCATCTGGTTGCTGATACCTCAAACTGACATTGTCACTTACCGTTTCAGGAACTTCCAGAAAATAGCTTGGGTAATCATACATTACACCAACATTGTTGACTATTTAAGAAGAAAATATATTTTATGTTAGTGAAAAATAAAAAGCAATAACCAAAATTACAATAATTAAAATCTATATTGTTTCATTCAGTATTTTATACATCAGGGTTCTCAACTGTTATGTGTGTAAATCACTACTCATTTAGATAATGTTTGTTCACAAGAAGGAATAAAAGAAACTATTATGTTTGAAAAAAATGCATTATTGCTTATAGTTTGACTTATCATATCAATTAAAAAGAGAAAGAGATGATTATTTTTGCTTGTTAATGTATACTGACAAATTATTTCACAGTAAAAAATCAGTTTTTGATCCATATTTAAGTTTATTTTTCATTATTAGATAATTATTTTCACTGTCAGCCTGAAATTAACACTAATTAGCAAACTTTGTTTAAAAACATTGCAGCTTGTTTGGAATAACCTTTTATATTCTTAGAATATACTTACCACTGAAGTATTATAAGCCTTTCCTTGTTGAGTTTGCACTAATGATGTCAAGTTCAATGACAAAGAACCCACTTTGGGACAGCTTGAATGGTATTGAAAAAAACTTTAATATAAGTTTAACATTAAAGCAAATGTACTATGTTTCGACATGGTTTTTGTCATCATCAGGTAATGACGACAAAACTTTGTAGAAACATTGCATGTTTGCTGTTATGTTAAACTTATATTAAAGCTTTTCTTCATTACCCATTCAAGCCATCTCCAAGCATTATTACTCATGATGTCAATAAAACATATGACTTCAAAATTCTGAATGTCCAGATTATGCATTGCAGAGTTTGCATCATTTACTCTTAATTCCCCACTCATCTACCTTCTGTGTGACTTATTGTACAAACATCAGGAGATTTTACAAAACCTAGACTTCCTACCATATTTCAGGTTTTATTGAAAGTTGCAGGGTAATAAAAATCTGGGAGTTGGGTGGAAAGTGACATTGAAATAAGGTAGTCAATCTTACTTCAGAAATATTGTAAACCAGAATACCTATAATTCAAAAGAAGATGGGAACTAGTAAGATAGAAAATGATGAAATTACACTGCAGGAAACAATAAAGTAGACAATGACTACTTAAAGCCAAACAGTCAGAGTAGGATACAAAACTACAGTTAAAAGAACTGAATTCAAGTTTGAGTACATGAAGCAGACCAGGCTTACAGAAATACCAGACCTAAGACCACTCAAAAATATCTATCTCTTCACTCTTGACAGCTTTCAGCTTGCAAAAAAGAGAAAGAGAGAAAGTGATGGTACTAGTTTATTGTATCTATAGAGCCACCATTGAGGTTGTTTGTTTCTTGTTAAACACAAAGCCACACATTGGGCTATTTTAGTGTCACAAGTCCACAGACTTACCACTTAGCCATTGAAAGGGCATCAATATTGTGAACAAAGATGGTAGTATAAAAAGGTAGGAGGAATACTATATCTTGCTCCTGTAGTGAAAGGCTCTCAATGAAATAGCAAATATTATCTGAGGATGTACTCCAGGGGCTGTAGCCCCTCTTATCCTTAGCTATAAAGGCCAGTGCATTCAACTGTCCTAATTAGTAGGCACTTTGGAAATAAATCAAATAAAAAAAACAAACATACTGTACCAAGAATGGGGCTAAACAACTCAAGGACAGTTTAATGGAAGCATCACAAATAAAATAAAAAACAAATTATCCCAATTCTGGTTGTAGCTAAGACATCTAGTGAGAACTGACATAGTATTAAAGATATCACTAATTTCACACAAGAATGTGCACACAGAGATGGCAAATGTACCTGTCGAGGTATCAGCAACCAGATGGCAAATGTACCTGTCGAGGTATCAGCAACCAGATGGCAAATGTACCTGAGTAGCTGTTTTGGTTTAAAAGCTGAATCCTCCATTATGTAAATGGTTTTATTTTCTGTATGTAGTTTTAAATATGAAATACTAGAAGTTATGAATTCAGTCTCGTGTTTTTATAAGATCTATATCTTAAAGTACTATTTCGAAGAGTTTGATAATACTAAATTTTATCTGGTAATGTAGACCAGTGATTAGGCCCACTACGAAGGTCTTGAACAAGTAATAGAACTTAGTAGTGGGCTCATTAATGTAAAGTGTAAGTTAATGAAAAGCTTGCCTTTGCTTGATGTTAAGTAATCTATTCTGAAAAAGAAGAATACATCTTATATCAGTGGATGTTAGTGAACCTTCCACACTGTTACATTAAGATATATGTACTTTTAAATTTTGTTTATTTTATTGAAATAGTTTATGCATATTTAGTGTGTGTGTATATTTATGACATCACTTTGTGGGTTCCTTGCATTCCACTTTGAAAATCAACCAGGACTGGGTTTTAGAAAGCTAAATTTAAGAAATGTTACAACTAGCTGTTACAGCTGAATTAATTCATCATAAAGACCATGAAATTCAACTATTTAAGTTCATTTTTAAGCAGCTTTTGGCATCTGTTACTAAGGTCTCCCATTTCCTCTTCAATGGGATCATTTATGATCAGACTGACTGTGTTGCAATGGGATTGAGACTAGCATCTTTTCTTGACAACCTTTTATTTTTTATGTTTTCTTGAAGAAGAATGATTAAATAAGTGGCCAGACAACTTTAAACTGATACATTATCACAGGCTTGTGGATAAAATTTTTATCTTCAAGGACTAAGAACACGTAAAGCAATTTTTAGAATATCTCATTAATTGTCATAAAAGTATTAAGTTTACTGTCAAATATTAAGAAAACAATCACCAACTTACCTTTTTGGGCATCTTTATATATAACAATGAAGATATATATGAATGTGAAGTTTTACATATAAAGACATTTATAGGCTTGTATTATCATTTTGTTAGTATTATCCCATTACTATTTAAAATACTTTAGTTAAATATTTTGGTTTATTATGCTTGTAAAATCACCAGCACATTTGAATGTCTGTAGAAAGTACAAAATAACAGTTTTCTCATTAAGAATGGTTTTCCAGTGAATTTTGTTGTTAACACAGAAGTTAGAAGTATTATACAAGTTGAAAAACAAAATATATATTGAACTACCCTACACAAGCAAACTTGGGATGTTAGTGAAGAAACAACAACACAAACTTTTTTGTAGAACTTATCCCCCAAATAGATTTACATGTGATATTTAGACCAAAATGTAGACTGCAAAATCGTTTTCAAGTTTAAGGGCAGAATATCATATTTAACAGCATCAAAAATGATAGTGAATTTAATTGTCCTAGAAACAATTTTAGGTATACTTGGTTTACCACCAGATGGAAAAAAACACATGTCAAGTGACAACGAATCTAGTATAAGATATCACAATATGCAAGACTGCGACATAGTAATACACTCATTGATATTTAAGATCTTGTCCAAGTACAACAATGAGAAAAGTCTATATATGAAAGAAGCACTGTTGATTCATAATATAAGACCAGAATTGAATGTAACTGGTTCATCCATTGACCTGTTGTTAAAGATTTCCTCAAGCTTATATAAAACTTTTAGAAGCAAATCAAATAAATCACTTCCATCATGAATATTTTAAATTTGAATAAACTTGACTTATTAGCTATCTTAATTTGTGCTAATGTCTTATCAAATTAAAGTATCATGAATTAGTTACAGATGTCAGGGGGATGTTGGTATACAGGGATTGTTGAAGAGGAAATGGGAGACCTTAGTAACAGATGCCAAAAGCTGCTTAAAAA